TTCGAGGAGCTCGGCAAGTCAACCAGTCTGTCACACTACGCCAAGAAGCGAATTCTGTATACAAAAAGGGAGACCGGAACCCTGATGATCCTGCTTGCGCCTTAGATTATGTAATGCCGGAGTACTCCCGCTATGAGTCAGACTGCCTCTACCGACAAAACTCCTCGGCAGACACCAATATAAAAAGGGGGATAAAAATGAAGTTAAGAAAAAAAGATAGATCGTGTGAACCACGCGTTTTTACACTCCGTGACACGCTGGAACACGACACAGTTCTTAACTTCAACGTTGGCATACTGCTGGTCCCTTCACCTTTTACAGTGAAAAAACGAGATTGGCTGTCATGGCGATGGGTACATACTGTCCCTTGTGTGATAGTTAATTCATCCATGCAACCGAGAGAGAGAGAGAGAAAGCAGATAGTAGAAAAATAGAAGAAGGTAAGACGTTCTCTGGGACCAGGGGTTTACTTGTCCGACGTTTCGAACCCTCCCGCGAGCTCAATGTCAAGGAGTAAAAAATGTACAGCTCACAGTGTATTTAACGCGAAGTAGGCATCAGGAAGCTCGATATGCCTGTTAAGTGAGTCTGCGCGTGAATGCCATGCTTCCTGCAGCAGGTGTGAAGTTCGGTCCTCTGACCGACCCAGCATTCGCACGCGTTCAAATTCGAAGTCGTGCCCCGGCGTGGACGCGTGGGCGGCCACCAGGGAAAGCTTGTCCTTACGTCACACGGCGAGTTCATGCTGATGCATTTTCGTGAGAACCCGTTTGCCGATTTCACCAACATAATTGGCTTGACCACAAAGACAGTCGATGCATGGTATTTAGGCGCGGACTCAACTAACAGGCATATCGAGCTTCTTGATGCCTACCTCGCGCTGCGCGAGCAGATCGAGGGCAGATTTCAAGGGCAGAAGTCACTCCCGACAGAACTGAGTTAAATACACTGTGAGCTGTACATGTTTCACTCCTTGACACTGGGCTCGCGGGAGGGTTCGAAACGTCGGAAAAATAAACACCTGGCCCAGAGAACATCTTACCTTCTTCTATTCAGTTACCTGGGCCTCGGATATTCTCGACCATTGACAGTAGAAAAATGTGTGTAATTGTAGTTATGGTGAATCTGACTTGCTACGCATCTGCTTCACTACTTCCGCCCGTACGGGTTTTGCCTCATACACGATTGTATTTAAGGCAGGTCTTATTCAAAGTATTCCTGGGAGCTTCGAGAGACCTGTGGTTTCTCGGACGCATATGCCTGAGCGTACACTGGCAGTGAACAGCTCTCACACACAATGAGAAACTAAATATTTAGCTAACTACAACCGGGATCTGAAATAAGGGCTCCAGTCAGGCGTTTTACGCTCCATCATCTTAATCACATAGGCACAGAGAAAGAGAGAGAG